GCTAGTGGGGGAAAAGAGGGGGCAATCTTATGGGATCAAGAGACTATGGAACTCATCTAGAAGCCGAAAGCATCGTTGGAGGTTCGTAAACTCGGGAAGAACTTTTTTCAATTTAATTTTGAAAATGAGGAGGACATAAAAAGGGTGGCAGGAGGCACAAACTGGGTTTCTTTCTGATACAAGTACTTTATATTGAAAGGCTGGCAAGCAGGGCTTCACAGTAATCATAGCTGCTTCAATGAGCTTCGATTGTGGGTTCAGGTTCACCATGTTCCACTGAATTGGCTCACACCTGAAGTTGGGTTAAAAATATGGAAGGTCTTTAAATCAGTCTCCAATTTATTAGTTAGTAACCTGAGAAGTCAAGGAGGGAGACTGATTAAATTGCTGGTGACGGTGGATATTGCAGAGCCACTGCCTAGATGTGCATCCATTAGGTTGGATCAGGAAGTGGTATCAGTCACATTTAAGTATGAGAGGCTGATCAATCTCTATTTTTATTGCGGGAAGGTAGGGCATATTGAGAACGATTGTGGACAAAGGGTGGAGATGTGGAGAATCATTCTCTTAAGGAAGGCCAGTATGGAGAATGAATGAGAGCATCTGAGGGGTTGCAGGGGGTGTTCGCTAATTATTTTTGCTATCCGCAAGTGTACGGCGTAGCTATAGGTAGTGGCGAGTGTTATACCCCGAGTTTTATTAATAAAGGAAAATACTAGCTTTTAATTTTAAGCTAGCCTTTGTTAGTAAATAATCATGTTCATGTTCAAGTTCAAGTGATTCAGCCAGCTATATTCCAAGTTCGACTATTAGTCGATAAGTTTTCAGATATAATTCCGATTCATTTAATTAGTTAATGAGTTCGGAATTAATAAGCCAAGTTGACGAACTATTCGAAATATTAATGTTCGGATTAATCGTCTAAGTCAAGAATATTCGAATTAAGTTTCGAGTGTCATATTTATGTTCGGAATAATTTTCCGACAGTTAATTCGGTTAAAGTTCCTTATGTCAAGTTCAGTTTTCCTATACAGTGACGCGTTCACATTGGTAAACCTTCCATCATTAATTAAGTAATGGTCGTTAACCCTTACTTAATTAACTTAATCCATGTTTAAGCTAATTAATCATAATTAGCTTAAAATAATCATGATTAGCTTAATGTTAATGATAATTAATTAACATTAATGAGGATTAGTTTAAAGATAATCATGCTTAAAGGTAATCATGTTTACTTAATATTAATTATACTTATAAAGTTTAAATTGCCTAAGCTTTATGCTTATAAAGCTTAAATTGTGTTTTGTACAGTTTGAATTTGGCATAGCAGTGCCGTTATTATTTTCAGATAACTTGTTTTCACGATCACGGTACTGCTATCTATTTTCACCACTACAGTTTCCGCTGATGTTTTACTGTTCGTCATTCTTAGTCAAATGAATCAGTCGGCGAACTGTTAGTTGGTTTTTCAAAACCAAAAGTTCAGATTTGTCAGTCAGTTATGTTATTTTAGTAGCACTCTGAATCAGTATTTCTCAATGTAAAATATTTTATTTTGAATGTAATTGCGAAAAGCGCGCTCTGATTTTCATGACAAGGCGGGGTGTTACAGTTGGTATCAGAGCACGTTTTTGCGTCTCTGAATATCTCACGAGTCAGAAAATTTTTTAGAAAACCCGAACACGTCATGCTCTCGCCTCGCCGACTACCAGGTAAGTGTTGATTCATGTTTTAAATTATAAACAATTTACTATTTCTATGCTCAGAAATTTCTCAGTTACGATATAGTTAAGATGCTCGAATCATGTTCAGGATCAGTAGTCAGTATACTCAGGATTTTATGTCAATACTTTCCAGTCATGCTTAGCGACTCGTCAAGAAATTTGTGTGCTTTATTGATTAGCTTCAATAAAGTCATCAGTAAGGATGTTCGAATCAGAATTAAGAACCTTAGAAAGGGGCTAAATTTGAGAACTCTAGATTAAATTCTAGATTTATTCAGGTCGAGTTTACGACTCGTCAAGAGATTTGTAAATATTTATGTTATACAAATCTTAGCATTCATGTTCCTCAGACATTTTCTATCGAAAATTTCCCATTTTGCCAACCAGTTGGCACATTTTAAGAAAGAATTCCTCGATTTATATCAGGGAATAGACTCAAATTTCCTAAGTCAGATCAGTAAATCATGTTCAAGGCAAAATTTTCATGCTAAAGGTTGTTATAATTCTCAAGTTATTATTAACGTAACGGTTTCCAGTGTATAAGAGTCAACAGTCCGGGTTACCATGGAGGCTTGAAATAAGAGCCATTAAGCCGGGTATACCATGGAGACTTGAAGCTGGGACCGGAGCAGTATAGTTTCAGGAAATGACAACCTTTAGAGTCAGCTAAGTCGGGTATCTTACCAGTTAGATACTCTGAGTTTAGTTGACAAAGTTCAAGATCAGATAATTATTCAGTACTTGCGGGACCAGTTGATACTGGAGTAGCCCTATATAGTACATAATCATGAGTCAAAGATCACGATTTAAAGACAATGTTCATGTATTAAGGTCGACGTATAATAGTTGTTCAGCCGGGTTAAAATGGAGGTCTGTAATACAGACTATTAGTCCAGTTTTACCTGGAAACTTGAAGTCGCACCTTATCCAGTCAAGTAAGTCAGTAAATGTCACGTTCCAAATTCCGAGATGATTATTTTAATTGTTTCAGAATAGCTTTCAGGGTACAGATAAAGAATGATTCAGTCATGTAAAAGTTAAGTCCTGGATATTCAGTTATGTGAATGCTCAGGCTAGTCATGTTAAGTTAAAGATAGTCTGTCTAATAAGACAAGACTTACTAGTCATTTCAAGAATGTCCTATGCCTCGATTCTCAAATACAGATAATTTGAGAACTCGTAGGAAAGATCAGTTCATGATAAACTTTTCTTGAGGTTATGTTTGACCCCAGGAAAGGTAAACAGTTGCAGGTACAACCTGTCGATTTATGACA